GGCTAATGGAGGTAAAGCATAGCATCACCAGCATTGTATTCCTGGAAGCAGTGCAAGTTATAGATTTAGGTATCAATATTTATCTAAGCTTTAGCGAAGTCCGGACGCAGTACATTACTAGTGTGAAAGATAGAAGAAAAAGCAATGATATCCGTATATACCCGGAAAGAGAGGTGAGAGTGGGTGGGAGTAAGTGAAAGCACTTGTACAAGCTAAACATCTGTGCAACCGGAAAGAGCAGAGAAAAGACTAAAGCAATTACACAGGCCATGTGTACGAGGTAATTTAGCAGTGAGACCCAAACATTCTTGTAAACCAGAATGCAGCTTCAGCACACATTTTCTATTTCTTCATGTTGTGCTGCTGTTGCCGTTTCCCAACGATATGATGAGGCTCTCCGTTATGCTTCTGCTGGTTTTCCTGTGCAGGTATGTGCTGCCGTAGCTCAGAGAAATCTTTGGCCAGGGTAGCCAAGATGGCATCATCCACATCCTCCTCTCCTTCAGGTTCACTTGTAGGTTTGGCATTCATGCTTGACATGTCCTTCAGTACTGTGTAGGTCTTCTCCTATTGGTTTTTGTCTGCCCATACCATTTGCACTGCTCAGTGATGTCGGCGACAGTCGCCTCCAGCTCACCATTTTCCATTTTTTTCTTTACTTTTTGGATACGCTGTGTGTCCTTGAGGTAGCATTTGAGGCTGACTCGTTCTTCTACCTTTGTTTTGCAAACATTCTTGTCTAGTGTTCAGTGATCGAACCCAGTCAACGTTGAAGCACCCTTGTTATTTCTTTCCGTTTCTTTTTATTCTTGTACGCCGCTGCCTGCAACCGTGCATTTTAATAGGTTTGCGAGAATCTCTTTTCGCCTGCAGCAACCAGAGTTTGAAAGTACCGACACAAACTGGAAGCATGCCCAGTTTCCAGACAACTAGCTGCTTCAAAAATTCTTATGTCAGATGAGTGACTGGTTGCGCAGCTGACATTATGGTGACATAATGTGTCCTTGTAGTTCTGTTTATTATTACTTGTATATTTCACTGTTCGCGTCAAACTCGGCTAAAGGCCGAGTTTTCCGCATCCGTAGGAGCGCCACCACCCTTCAAGGATCGTGTGTTTTAATATTATAACGGTGTATTTTGGTATTTGTTTTGACCATCAGTCCTTGGCTGATGCTGGTCATACCTTCAACATGTTGACGCGTTTTTCAAGGCATTCAATATACGTAGGCCGCAAGATTCTATCTTTTCATACCGAATACCGATGGCTAGTGCTTCCCTACTAGCCGCGCAAGTGTCACATCTGGCTGCGGCCAACTACCCTTTAATTTGTGTGTTGCCGCTATTGCTGTCTATGTCTCTGTGTGTGCCAGTATTTGAGGAACGAGAATTGGTGTTATTGTTGTTGTTGTTGTAGTCGTTGTTGTTGTTCTGGTTGTCATGGGCTGTGGCTGTTGAATGTAGGCTGTTGCTTTTGTTGTTGTACTTTTAGTTGAAGCTGCATCACAAACAGGTAACCACCTTGATGATGGTACACAATATCCGTTGAAGAAGCCGCAAAAAAACACTGTATTCTCAAACCAGTGGGCTGCAGAATGAAACCAAATATCAAGCTGGGCAAGCTGTTAGCCACTCTAAACGAAATTTACACCAAACAAGTTGCTATTTGTCAACAGGAAGTCATAAAATTCGACTCCCTGACTCAGTCACTCTACATTCATTAGACTACAGAGTAGTGACTGTAGTCACTGAGTAGTCTACGTCCTTGTACATGTACATGACAGCATGCATGCATCATTTCATGTCAGTACATCGCATGCATCCAGCTCATGGCCATGGCCATGGGAAAGCCCCTACAAAATGGCCTTCAGAGAAAGCCACGCGGTTGGAGAGGTAGTTCACTCGAAAAAACTGAGAAAGAAGTGCTTTTCATCTTCTTGCTGTTCAATGTCAAGCCAGAAACAATTGAGAAGCTGCTTGAAATGTGCAGAATGAGGCGATTTCCTAGATCTTTGAAGTTAGAAAGCGCACTGGACCTGCAATCTTTTGGAACTGGTCCTTCTTGAGGACAGAGATCAGACTAGCCAGGTGACAATGCTGTGGTTTGTTGGCTGACAATATTTGGAGGAAGCTTCAGAAATGACCATGAAGAAGGTCAATTCTTGCTATTTCCTCAAGATCACCAAGGTAACAGATACTTTTCAGTGGAGAAGAAAATCATGATTCTTAGGAGTTGAGATCGCATCGGTTGTTCAATGTTTTTCACTTTCGTTTTTTTCGTTGTGTAACTGTTTGTCTTGTTGGCGTGATTCACTAGTTTGATGCATTACATTTCGATTATGGCCATAGTTCAGAGCAATTTTCTTCCTTCCAAGATCAATCTCTGCAGTAAATGCGCAAATATTTTACGGAATTTCGGACTCTGTGGGATGTCATATAATTGCTGGTAATGATGCGACTCGCCCAAAGGTGCTGTCCATCCCCTCTGGTCCGCATGCAAGTACTGATCTCTGCTGCTTCAAGCCAGTATCCATCGCATGTGTACGCAAGTTGCTCAGCAGTGTAGATACGACAAAGTCAACGGGCAGTGATGGCGTACCTGCTCTTGTACTAGCAGCATGCTCTGACCTCTTAGCTCCATCAGTAACTCTCATCTTCAACAAGTCACTTTCCGAAGGGAGATTTCCACTATCCATGAAACTTGCAAATATCACCCCTGTGTACAAGAGCGGCGACCCTACTAAGGCCACCAATTTCAGGCCTGTTTCTCTGTTGCCTATTATCTCAAAGATCCTTGAGCGCATCGTACATTCGCAACTCACTGAATTCTTGACCACCCACAGCTTCTACCCAGATTGCCAGTTCGGATTCCGGAAACAGCACTCAACAGAGGATGCTGTTGTGATGGCATCAGAGGCCTTTGCCAATGCCAAAGACTCCGGACTCTCAACTTGCGCCGCCTTTGTTGACATGTCGAAGGCATTCGACAAGGTTCAACATGGCACCCTCATCCGCGACCTCTTCAGTATTGGTGTTGGTGGAAGTGCGCTGAATTGGCTGGCAGACTACTTAAGTGACCGGCAGCAAAGAGTTGTCATTGGGAACCAGCACAGCAAGGTATTCCAGCCCAGCAGTGGTGTGCCCCAGGGTTCCGTACTTGGTCCTCTGCTGTTTGTCCTCTATGTCCGTGGTGTGGCAGCTGAAGTGCAACCGTGTGGTGTGCGGACAGTTCAGTTCGCAGATGACATCATGCTCTATATTAGTAGGAGGGACAAACATCATCTGGAACGCAGTATGTCTTCTGCAGTTCCACACCTGGCCAGATGGCTTGCCAGCAGGAACCTGGTACTAAACGAGAGTAAAACACAGATTTTGTTCATCTCTGCCCATCGTTCTGTGAATCCTCGTGTCAGCGTTATGTGCTCTGGAGTTCAACTGGCACAAGTAGAATCCGCAAAGTATCTTGGTGTCCACATGGACCAAGATCTCAAGTGGACCACAATGGTCAACCAGATCGCCAAGCAAGCTGCCTGTAAAATAGCTGTCCTGTTTAGAAACAGGCGCTGCATGCCCCTCCCGTGCCGCATCACGTACCTGAAGTCCCTGATCCTTCCTGACTTCCTGTATGCTAGCAACTGTTTCTCTGCTGGCCTCACCTCACATCAGCTCGAGCGCCTAGAGCGGCTACTCAAGTGCGCAGTCCGCTGTGTTTACAACGCTCCATTTGCATCCCCATCTGCGCCGCTGTATTGCCAACTGCGATTGCACTCGCTAGAAGTTATGTACTGCCACAAGCTTCTTGGCTACACTTGGCGCTGCCTTCAGGGTAAATGCAGCACATTGCTTACCGATATGTTCAGTCCTCTTAATGCCGGCCGTGCTACACGTAGTAAGGGAAATCGAGCACTTAAATTTCCAGTCACTAAGACATCCGCTGGCACACATTCTGCCTCATTCCAATGTGTATCACTGTGGAACAGGCTCCAGCCCGACATCAGGAAAATCCCACAGTACCACCGATTCATGCGATCCCTCCCAGCACATGCTGCTTTTCAGTAATGCCACTGCCCGCTGTATTATTATTTCCTTTACTGGCCTAACTGGCTTTTACAATGTAATACTTTACTACCCACTCTACTCAGTGTCATTACCTTCATTGGCCTTTTATAATTTATTCTCCTTTTTAGTCGATATCATGTAAGTAGGCAAATTTGCCTGTTTGGTCTTCGACTCTAAATAAACAAACAAACAAACAACAAAACCCCTTTGGAGTCCATGGTTTGATTTCGAACCCTGGGCATTTTGTACTCATGTGGGTGCAGTCAAACTTTCGGTTCTCGGCCAAATCTTGACCAAATTCAACACTCGAAGGGACTAGGTGGTAGAGAAAACTCTCAGCTATCGCCTCAAACAGGTCCGAAGTCTCTCCGATGAAGTTGCAGTGAGCGGCGAGCGATCGAACATTTGAATTTTCTGCGCTGCGTGCTGCGAGTCAGCAGTGCGTGCAAAAAGGATTTTCCCAGCTTCATGACAGGCGGCACGTGCCAGGACAGGCGCGGCGCGAAGTCACGGCAAGGTAAGCTTCCACTCGAAAAAATTTGAACAGTTCCGAGCTAGATTCAGTGAAATGGCTACAGGAGACCGATTTCGTCTCAGATCTGGAGCTGGACTCGCGTTTTGAGCGCGTTGTGCCGGACAATGAGTATTGCTCTTGGCGAATTTAGGCTCATTGTATTTCTCTTATCAAGAGCTTTCTAACGAGCCCAAGATCTTCAAAATCGGTGAAGTAGAACCAAAGTTATGTTTGAAATTGAGTGCGCATTTTCGTCACTGCCACAAATTCCGAGGAAGCAAAAAATCTATGGACACCAAAGGGTTAAGACAGGATTCAACTCGATCGGGTGAAGGTCAGGGAACACATGATTTATCGTACGTTAATTGTACAGTGCAAACACAGAAAAGGATTATTCTGGTTCGTAACACTCAATGTTACTGTGCTTTACCTCATTCTTGATGTTACACTCGGCCCCTCCAGCGATCAGTGCTTGACACACCTCTAGGTTACCTCTCCTGGCGGCATCGTGCAACGGAGTGTCGCCACGCTGGAAGGACACGCAAGAAACAACAGTACAGGAAAAAGTTCTCAATGGGTTTGATTGTAGAACACAGTCACAACTGTAGATCAAAGCGAAACAATTCGGAGTGGAATTCAACAGTTGGTGGATATGGTACTACTTGTCTGGTATTTACATTGCATGATTGCCATTAGTGTACAGACATACATGTACACTTATACCTCGGTTATCCAGACCCCAAAGTTACGGGCATTTCAGGCTAGTGGAAATGTTACTACTCTTTTGGCAATATTTCTGGAAAACGTGACGACATACGCCATATTATCTATGGCCATTCCCCGTCAAAATGTATATGATTGGGAGTTATGGACATTTCAAAGTTACGGGCAGTGCCCGGATAAACAAGTTATGAGTGTATTTCATATTGTCGGATCATTTTGTCGTACAAATTGGATCAACGCCCATGATGCAGTACGAATGCGGCTAGACGTACACATATGCAAGTGCAGTGATGTGATCGGAACTGGTCCCTGGTACCAGTTTTGCGCTTTAAGTCGCATTTCAGTGAAGAGAATTGTATCGCTGCCTTAATCTGATCCCTACCGGGTGATTCAGCGGCAATTTTTGAGTTTGTGCTTCTGACACTTTCAAAAAGGATTTTTTGGCCTTTTATCCTCCAAGTATAATTTGATATCGTGCTCCTTATGCAGGTTCAGCGAAACCCAGCCTATTGACGCGGCTGCACATTCGTAGTATATACCTCATACGATGTTACTGTCTTATGATCGGGAAAAAAGCTGCCGTCAACTGAATCCGCCGAGGGCCAAACCAAGCGGATTAGCATGCACTCTGCAAATTTAAGGGCACTCACGTCAGGTGAAAGATTCTGGTATGCTGGCGTCTCTCAAGAATATACCAAGCAATGGGAGCTTGCCCGACTTTGAGAACAAAAGACACAACACCCTGGGGCAAAGACCTGCATACATTATAGTCATGAGGAGGCCGTAAATGAACATATCCGGTTAAACACGGAACAGGATTATCCTGGTTCATAACAATCAATGTAACTGTGCTTTACCCCATCCTTGATGTTACAGTCGGCCCCTCCAGCGATCGGCGCTTGACACACCTCGAGGTCACCTCTCCTGACGGCAACGTGCAACGGAGTGTCGCCACGCTGGATGCACACACAAGAAACAACAGTACAGGAAAAAGTTCTCAATGGGTTTGATTGTAGAACACAGTCACATCAATGCAAAACAATTCAGAGTGGAATTCAAAAGTCGGTGGATATGGTTCTACTTGTCTGGTATTTACATTGCATGATTGCCATTAGTGTACAGACATACATGTACACTTATACCTCGGTTATCCAGACTCCGAAGCTACGGGCATTTCAGGCTACCGGACACCCTTTGGTTGAGTGTTAGTGGAAATGTTACTACTCTTTTGGCACTTTTTGTGGAAATAGTGACGACATATGAGCCGTCAGATGCGAAAAGGGTGCTTATGGCATCAGGGAGCAAATAGAGTAAAGTGCGTCAGAGTGACAGGCTGTCAAGTACCTGTCACATGCATGAGTGAATCTTGATGTGACGTCATTTTTTCGATCGTTGCGGGATATGGATGAGTGTGAGTGTGCATCCCCGGCCCGGCGCTGGTATGTACACTAGCGCACTGCTGAGATTCCCAGCTTTTCGTAGATACTTCAACCGGCCTGAAACTCCAAAGCACGGCGGATTTACATACAAAAGAAACTGCCTTTTTTTGTGGCGCAGTTCTCACGAGCTCCATTCTGATTCTGAACGAAATTCTTTTGTCTCCTGACCTAAATTGATGATATCTTCATGATGGGTTTGAATTTTTGAGTCCGGTTTTTTGGAGGTGAAGCATAAAAGCCTATAGAGTTTGCTTGAGTCCTTATCTCAATTTGACCAAAATATGCCATAAGCACCCTTTTCGCATCTGACGGCTCATATGCCATATTTATGGCCATTCCCCGTCAAAATGTATGTGATTCGGACTTACGGACATTTCGAAGTTACGGGTAGTGCCCGGATAAACAAGTTATAAGTGTATTTCATATTGTGGGATCACTGTGTCGTTGTACAAATTGGATTGTCGGCTGAAGAGGTGCTCCAGTCCATCATGGACTCGGACAGTGATGACTGGAGCTGCGATAGTGAGGTGTCGATGTCGAGTTTGAGCAGGGCGCAGCAGCACAAGCTACGCCAGCGCAGGACAACAAGTCGGTTTGAGTTGATACGAATAATTACAAGAAAATGGCCCGGCAAACCGCGTGCATCTGGCCTGGCACTGAAAGGGATTTCAAAGGATCAGACAGGGAAGTGAACTGCCTGAAAGGAGATAAAAATGCCAGACCCACCAGGGCTCAAATCTGGGACATTGTTTTTCATGAGCAAGGCTCACAAAACACTTCCTTTCACCTCTCGTAGTACATTCCAGAAAACTGACCGTGGTTTGTCCCCCGGGAGAGGAAAAAGACCCAAGCGCCATCAGCATGTGTGGCATGTGTTGTGAGCCGCATTTGGAGTGAAACACTTGTCAGCACCTTCTGGGTTCGACCTGGTCCCATAGCTTACATATTTAGAGCATTTTTCTCTCAACACGACTGTTCACACAGCATGGGGCTGTGTTCCCAAAAATACGTTAAAGAAAATGGACAAAACAAATCGAATACAAACAAGAACACGATAAGCAGCAAACGCACAGGAGGGAAGTGAGAAATGGCAACTAGTTTCAAGAGATGTTTAGAGCATTGCTCATGACAAGCAAGGTCCCGGGTTTGCGTCTTGATGGGTCTGGCATTTTTTTGGTCGCTGTGTGCAGGTCCTATATGGCATTTGGTACACTAAAAGACGGTCGCTGGTCACGCAAGGCAGGTGCAGTTTCCTTGTAGAACTGTCCATGCATGGAAAAATGCTGGTTAAAAGCAGATGGTGGCTAAAAGCAGAGGTCGCTTACACCAGGTTTTACTGTAGAGTGAAATCTGGCCAAGTTCATACGTCCACAGATTTGTAGTACATGTCTTGTATGGTATTACTTATGATTTCCAGAAAAGTCACGTCAACTGAATCAGCCGTGGGCCAAAACCGAGCAGAGTTGCCCATGCACCCTGTCAACATGTCGGAGACTCATAACGTCTCTGATATGTTGATATAGAGCGGCGCAAGGAACAAAATGAGTAGGGCTGAAACGATCGTGATATTTCCTTAGTGGCTCAGCTGATATCATAACGATCGGCTTAGCGACATATTTCCACGCACGTAATACATGTAATATTGTCATGGTTACTTGAATTAATTTTTCAAATTCCAATAAAGTAATAATTATGTCATTATAGGTGATATCAAGAGTAGATAAACAAGAGTGTGCAACTCGCGGATGGGTTGGCCCACGGCGGAATTGTTTGTTGACGTAATCTTTTCGACGACGCACGCGCTGCGAGCCTTTCGGAGAGGTTTCCCTCGTGCACTTGGCGGGGCTTTGCACTACAAGGTCGGTGCCCAGCACGTGCTCTCACACTGCTCTGCGGCAAAGTCCGCGTTTCCCTGAAAAAAGGTGACGTCAACAAAAAATTCCGCCGTGGGCGGGGGCATCTGCAGATTGTGCAGAAGAGATCCGGAGTTGCACACTCTTGTTTATCTACTCTTGGTGATATGTTGATTGCAACAGAGATATTTTACTATCCTTTCTAATTTGAGCTGCCACAAATAACTTCAAAGTACGCAATTCAATACAGGCATGCACACACACAGACACACACACTACATACAGACACACACACACACACACACACACTCACACACACACACACTTCGAAAACTGCAGCAGTTACACTGATGGCAATGCAGGCTCTGCAGCAAACTCCTCTGCGGATGCCTCAGTCAGGTCAGCAGCGACTTCCTCAGCTGCCGACAGCAAACGTGTGGAGCGGTGCAAGCTGGGGAGAATCACGTTCTTCCTCAGAAAGATCAATGCGTCAACATTCGAAGGGTGGAGGGAGCTGCGGGTTTTCGTAACGATGGCACCAGCAGCAGACAAAACGGATTCGAATGGCACAGACGAGCCAGGAATGGCCAAGAATTTCCTGGCCACGGGCGCCAACAGCGCAAAGCAGTCGCTGTGCACTTTCCACCAGGCAAGTACATCAGTCTCCATGCCTGTTGGCTCCTCGGTAAAGAACACAGCAAGCTGTCGCTCAGCCTTTTCCAGGTTATCAACTGGCTCGTCATGCCCATCGTCGACGTTCGCTGTGGTGCTCATCAGTTGAGCAAGGCTGCTCAAACAGGGCTTCTTCGCAGCTGGCTCAGTAACGCTAGAAGCCGGGCATGTGGGCAGCTTCTCGCTGGCCAGTTCAGCAAGATCTTTCTGCACTTGGATGCGCTGTTCAACCTCCAAGAAGTTCAGGTTCCGGAACCGAGGATCCAAGGCGCTAGCCAGGACCCCCGGACTCCGGACATCCAAATTGTCGTGGCGGAACTTCACCTTCAGCCGTGAAAGTAGATTCAACGCGAACGACCGTGCCATGGTGGAGTCTGTTTCGCCAACCAAAATTTGAAGCCGTGTTGCCAGCTTTGTGGTGATGGGGAGCATTATTGAGAACGTGACGTACGATTGCAAGCTCAAACGGCTTCAGAATTGTGACCAGGTGTTCAGCTGCGGCCCATTGCTGGTCCTTCAGATGAAGGTCACGGTGTTCCTTCTTTGGAGTGCAGCTGCTGTCCGACAGCACAACCGTCAATGCTGTCCTTAGCTGTAGGTGGCGGCTCAACATGAAGAAGGTGGAATTCCACCTTGTAGGCACGTCCTGGACTATGGTTAGTGGCTGCTTGGCGCTGTCGAGCTGCAACTGCTTGAGCCTGAGCCTGAGCCCGATGACGTCCCTGATGACGGTCTGCAGCATGTGGGCCATGCAGACCTGGTTGTCGATATCGTCATCACGCAAAATAGCTGCAGTGGCAACCATGTTTTGGGCCTCATCGTGAGTCACACAGCTCACTTGTTGGCGTGGAATGCCGAAAGCATCCACAACGGATAGCAGATGTGCAGCCAGCTGTACACTGGTATGGCTGCCGTGGAATTGGTTAGTCTGCAGGACACAGCTCACCAGAGACCAATCTCTGTCAATAAAATGTGCAGTGTATGTGACATAGCTCTGCGTCGCCATAGAAGTCCATCCATCGGTGGTGAGGGCTATGCCACACACTCCCTCGTTCTTCAACAGCTTTTTCAGGTCAGCGATCCCTATTTCATGGCGCTTGCGCAGCAGCGAACTGAAATGAGTTCGCGACGGGAATGGGAAGGCAGGCTCCACAAACTTCATCAGAGCAACAAACCCACGATCGCCAGCGATGGACAGTGGTCTGGTGGAGTCCACAATCCAATCAAAAAACAAGTCGGCGGGCTCCTCGGAGCGAACGGACGAACAGGGACGACTGGTGGAAGTTGCCGAGTTCACAACCCAACTCGACAAGCTGCTGCTGCTGCTGCGCTTCTCCGCTGCCACCGATGACGCATTACTAACATCTGACTCAGTAGTCGCACCCGAGGAGTGAACCAATTGGAACTTTGAAGGGTGAGCCGATTTCAGATGAGCGAACAGGTTGCTGGTTCCGCTCTGTCGAGAGTAAGTCTTTTTACAAAGTTTACATGTGTGCCTCTCCACACCGCGATTAAAATACGTCCACACCAGACCTTGCTTGCCTGGAAAACGCCATGGCAGTCAGACGATACCTACCTACAATATAACTACGAGTGTCAGAGAGAAGACGAACTACAAGTAAAAGGAAAACTACAAGTGTCAGATAGAAGGTAATTCCGTCAATCTGCACCTCATCACCTTGTGCAACTAGTATTTCGTCTGTGCTCGTCGTTCCGCAGTGCACCGTAGAATGTCTACAAGTGCAGTTCAGTTCACATGGTTCACGGCCAGTCACACTCACAGTGACAGTCTGTGAGTGTGACTGGCCGTATTGACCCGAGTAGATATTGTAGACCGCGCAAGTAGTTCCGCAGTGCACCGTACCAAGTCAACTAGCATGACTGCACTGACTGACTAGACTGTACATCACTGCAGAAGGGCCCCACACGCGAGCCGCCGGTGGACGAATAGTAGTAATATTTACACACTTATCATCCAAATATGTACTCATT